TCCCTCACCATTTCACCTTTACAATTGGATGATTCAGCAAAGTATTTCTGTTTTATTTTGGAACACACTGTGTTTGAAGTGATAGTAACAGCTGAACAAAAACACCAGAGCTCCATAAAAGCAAGAGCCCTGCTCAGGAGCCAAACTGCAATCATACCTTCATATCCCAGACAGGCAATGGCAGTGACTGTGGCTGCTTCATCTGTGGTCTGGATCAAGGGGTTGACTTCTAAGTAAAACCTCCTTCTGTGTTATTTTAAAACAGGTGTCCTGAGTAACTTTCTTCTAGCACATTCTCAGGCACGAATGTTTGACTTAAAATCAATCACATAGGATATGTGTATAGTTGCCTACATTGAAATAACTTACCCATAATAATTTCATGTAATAGCTACACTTAAAGATGCTCACATCACAAACTGTGACTAGTCATCTGGAATCATGATGAAAATAATTTCCTGAGGTCTTTCCTCTCAGGCTTTGAGTCACTTATGTTTAATCAGAGAAAAGACCAAAAGGGATCAATTACAAGGATTAGACCTCATGCCATTACTGGAACTGGTAAAAAAAAAAATACACATAAAGAGTTATATTTGTATTGGCTATAGAACTTGAATTTGTTATAAATCTCTTAGAGTAAAATTTGCAAGGTAACATGGATATGGACAAAAATTGGATAAATTGATCTGTAAGGATATACTAGAACCAATGAGGACAATTGGAACACAGAAGATCAAATAGCAACTTGTCCTTCTTTCACCAACCCAGTCTCACAGTGTGGCACCTTCAGGGGAAATGGGTATCACTTGCATCCTACTACATGCAGACCTGGCCCAAGACAGAGAGAAGCTGAGGAGACCTGGTGGGGAGACCTTATTGCTGTGAGTCAGCAATAAGATGAGGGGCAGATCAGTAGCAACACATGCGAGTTGCCACCATGCTCTAAGCCTGCACCAATCTGCAGAAGACAAAGCATGGATGCTGCATCACAGCTGCCCTTCAGATCTTGCACAAACCTCTGTGTGGCCAACCCTAACTTAAAAAATACAAAAAAAGCAAATTCTGGGGTTTATCTCCAAAAAGTTAAATTGAGACAATACAAGGTTGCCCCAGTGCACTGCCAAAAACAAGTTAGTCCTCCCCCACAAAGAGGGTCAAGTTCATTTATCCATTCTTGGGCAAAGTTCTTACCCCTTTTTGCTGAGTCACACAGTACCATTCATATCCTATATTTTAACCACTGTATTAACTTTATGATTTATAAAAATAATTAATCAATATGATTAATTAATGAATCTTATGCTACTGCATAGAGGCAAAAAGAAAGGGGAGTAAATATGGTTAACATAGACATAAATGTATTTATCACCAAGTTAAAAAAGATTCATAAGTATTTCTGCATATTGTCATGTGATTGTAGCTTTACTGAGAACTACCACTTCCATTACCCACTGTATAATCTCTCTGCCCACAGAAGCACCTCCACTCACTGCGTTCCTGACTTTGTATAAAACAAGCTCCTTATTCAGGAGCAACACATTGTGGAATGTGTTAAAGATGAATTAGAAATTCTGCAAGTCCCCTCCTATGATTTTGGCAGAAATATTTAAGGCATGGATGGTGAATCCATATTAAAAATATTGATTTTTTGGGGATTAAATCTTTTCAATTATCTACAGAAAATTGATACATCATATTTTGGGAAACATAATCAAGAATGATGCCTGACTTTTCATCAGAAATAATAGAAGTCACCAAGAGAAACCATTTTAAAGTGCAAAAATAAAGCTAATTTATTTTCAACCTAGATTCCCATGAAAAGTATAATATTAAATTCTTTCTTGAAAGTCACTGCTAAGAATATGTGTAGGGGCAGGATAGGGACAGAGCAGGTTATCTATGATCGGAGCAGATGGGGTATAGGAGGAGTCCTAGAGCCCTCGGTGGCTTTCTCAGGCTTTTACTGAGCTTTTACATGTGGTGCAGCAACAAGGTACATGGCAGGCAGAGGTGCCAGGGAGCCAGGAGGCCGGGGGGCCAGGAGGCCAAGAGGCCTCCAAGCCCCCAGCAAGTCTTCACTCTAGGCTTCTCTCTCTCTTCTGGCGTTCTCTCTCCCCTTCTCTCTCCTGCCTCTCTCCTGCTTCTGCTTCTCTTGGTGACTATCTCAATATTCCTCCCATGGCCCACAGAAGTAAATAAGACAGCTTATAGCAATGTAACAACTGCAAGTGCACATCAGGCAGGGCAATCCTAATGATGGGAGGGCAGAAAAGCCTGAAAACTATTTACCCTACAATACGGAAAGTCATACTTCCCTGGTGGCGTAGGGGTTAAGGCTGAGCACTAACATCACTGAGCCTGAGTTCCATCCCTGGCCAGGTTGCTGATCCACATGGCACAGCAGACCTCTCCTGTCTTGCCTACCCCTCTCAGCAGTGTATTTCAGTAAACTCACCTGTCCTGCTCTCCATTGTGTCTCTGGTGAGTGTTCTCATCTCCCAAACTTCTGTCCTACACCCCAGCTCTTCTACACAAAGTAAAGAAAGAATGTGGAAAGTCACGGCCCAGTGTGACACTGCACCTGTAATGCATATCTCTGGAAAAGGACTGAAATGCAGAACATGTAAAAAGTTAATATAAATCACTAAGGAAATTTAAAAAATAGTAAAATCTTGAGGAATGACTTCTGAAATGATATCCCATATTTTAATATGGAGTAGTTAATAAACAGAAAAAAAGCAGTTATTGGTGTTTACAGAATAGAAAAAAATAGAGTTCACTTAGAAAGGCAGGTTTTACTATGAAAAAAGAAAGTTGATATTTCTTGAGCTTATTCATATATCAGGACTAAGGTAACCATTTCATCCATTATCTAATTTAAATATCATCAACCTTAGAAGATAATTTCTATTGTTGCCACTTTTTATAGTTGTGAAAAGATACAGACCTTTCTGTAAGCACCTCTAACTTATATATTCACCTCTAACTTATATATTCACCTCTAACTTATATATTCACCTCTAACTTATATATTCAGCAGAGGGTAGCATCTCAGAGGGCTTCAGGGAGTGAGGTTTGGATAATGAGAATCAACTGACCCCAGAAGAGGTCTCAGTGATGGTGACATTTATGGTTTCAACTGGAAACCCCCCCAAAAAACAATCAAACAAACAAACAAAAAGTATATGCCAAAGCTAGGTACAAATTGCCCCGGGAAAATAGAGGAAATCATCTACTAACCAATTTATAGCTCTAAATGTTTTAACCAGTATCTCCCAGTTTTTGTGCTAGGGTGAATAGGGGCTGGAAGGAGAGATGATCTATTATTTTCAAATACTTGGAGCATTTTCTGTATCAGAACTTTGCCCGATGACTTGGCCCTCTCTGTAATACACCTCCCTCCCCGCCCCCCATATCTGCATGGTGCACCCCTCCACTTCCTTCATATCTGTATTCAAGTGTCACCACTTGGGACAGTGTTTAGCTAACTCTCTCTTCTCCCTGAGAACCAGGCTCCAGCACACTCCAAGCGTCAGGAAGGAAAGCAGCTCTTTGCTGTAGCGCTGCCCCTTAGTGTTGAGTGAAAATATTCTGTGAGCCTGACACTGGCCTTCTGCTGCCCTCCAGTGTTCCCTGGTTAGACTGTGGCCACGCTTGGTCCCCACAGGGGTTGCTGTTGCTGAATCAGGCAGTAACCTTCACACGGTAGAGAGAATTGTGGAGAACTGTCTGTTTTTAATTTTTTTTCCTCACAGATACGAAAGTATTGACTTCAAAATGACAAATATAACACATAGGATGTTTTGGGCTGGAGAATAATAGGGTTATCTTGGAGAAAAAACTTGGCATTAATGCACAAGGTGGGATAAAAAATGACAACCCTTTTGCCCTGTTGATAGGAAGATATTGGTGCAGATACTATGGAAAGCAGTGTGGGGGTTCTTGAGAAAATTAAAGATAAAATTACTATATGATCTAGCAATTGTACTCTGGATATATAGCAGAAACAAAAAAATCACTATATAAACATGATGTCTGATTCCCCCCACCCCCACCCCCGAGTCATTGCAGCATTATTTAAAAATGTTTTGTCATTGAAACAATGTTAAGGATTCATTAACAGACAAATAAGTAAATAAGAAACAGACACAAACAAGTGTGACTGAACACTTTGGAGCAATGTGATTAAAAAAAAAAGGTGACATCAGGACCATCTCAGGACATGGGACCTAGTCATTGCGATCTAATTGTGGAGGAAACGTAGCGAGCACCCTAGCCCTCTTCAGGGTCAAATAAATAACACTCAGTGTCAGACTTCAAGAGATAGTATGTTATTGCTGTTATAATTCGTAAACACATAAACAACTTATAGCTTTTGAAAGTCAGAAGGACTTATCTTTAGTCATTCGATTTTGATTCTGAAGCAGCTTCATTTATTGTAAAACTTGGGCAGAATCTTAGGACACAGTAAGGAAGAAGAAAGACACGTGGCAGTTGTTTTGAATAGAACAGTCTTCCCTGAAAAAACAGCACTTTGAATTTTTCAAAAAAATTCATTAGATTCTGGATAGAGAGAAATGAGTGCAAGGTAAATGAATGACTATTGAATAGACACAAAGAGGGGTGAAATGCATAATACATTCTATTTTCACTAGCACAAAATTATTCCACTTAATATTCTACTAAAATCATCAATGTGTGTCAGCTGATTCAATGCTCATTAACCTTCAGCTCAAACCTGTAATACTAATTGCTTTTTCACATTCAGCCTCACTTAAATATCAGGGAAGAGAAGCAGGCAAAATCCAAGTTTGGAGTGAGCCAGACTCTTTCTCATCTGTGCATAACCAGGTGGGCAATGCAACATGAGAAACCCTGTTTCCTGTGTGGGGAGCAGCATCACCCCTAGGAACTACATAAACACCCTTTCAGGCTCTCAGAGACACTGAGCTCCCCGCTGGAGGCACAATTGTACACACATGTTAGGGCACACACGCCCCATGGTGCCCTCCAGCCTGCTGTGGGCCCTGGTGGCCTTCACCTGCTCTGGTAGGCCCGGGGCCAGGTGGGGTGGGGAGGATGGAAGGACAGCACCGGGCTCAGGGTGCTTGGTGTGGGTGAGGGGAAGGAGGCCAGCATGGGATGATTTCAGTGTGGTTTGTTTTTGTGTAAGATTAGTCTAATTCTATAATATTTTATTCACTACCTCAGCTGTGTTTTCTGATTCTCCCTACAGGATCCAGCATGGCCCAGAAAGTTACTCAAAACCAGCCAAATATGTTCAAGCAAGAGGGGTCATCAGTTGACCTGAAGTGTCAGTATGAAACAAGTTGGACTGACTACTATCTTTATTGGTACAAGCAGCTTCCTGATGGAAGAATGACCTACATCATTAAACAGTATTCTTCTACCCAAAAAATGGGTGAAAAAATGGGTCGCTATTCTATAGACTTCCAGAAAACAGCCAATAACATCTTCCTCAACATTGTGTCTTTACAATTGGATGATTCAGCCAAGTATCTCTGTGCTCTCCAAGAGAGCACAGTGTTTGAAGTGATAGTAAAAGTTGAACAAAAAACCCAGACTGAATAAAGGCTAGGGCCCTGCTCAGGAGCCAAGCTAAAATCACACCTGCACATCCCAGACAGACAACGGCAGTGACTGCGGCTGCTTCTTCCGTGGTCTGGATAGGGGGATTGAATTCTGAGTAAAACCTCCTTCTACATCATGTGGAAAAAGGTGATCAGAGTAACTTTGTCCTAATAAATTCTCAGTCATGAATATTTGACTTAAAATTAAGCTTACAGAGAATATGTATTGTTGTCTTATGTTGAAAAATCTTGCCCCAGAATAATTTCAAGTGGCAGCTGCATTTAAAAATCTTCACATCACAAGCTTGCCCAGTCATCTGAAATCATCATGAAAATCACTTCCTGGCCCTTTCCTCTCAGGCTTTCTTCGTAGCACTCTGGGCGATGTTTTGTCTTTCTGGTAAATATAAGAAGAGCTGTAGACTCACACCAAACAATATTTGTGTACTCCTGACAACATACTGAATGTTTGAATTCAGAGGGCCCTTGGGTGCTTCTTAGACCTTTTAAGAACTTAAGCAGTTTTTATCATCAATGAATATACTTTCATTGCCATTACCACGCAAATTCCAATTCAATCCTGGAGAGATGACACAAGTCAGAAGATTATTTTGATTTCATTTGTTTGAGGGATGATTGCTATTGCAGGACTTGGTGGCTGTGACTTCTGTTTGTCTCTTATGTGGAAGCCAAGGACCAGGGTCCCATTTCAACTTAGAGTCAGTTTGGAGGCAAGAGAACAACCAAAATATGGATGAATATTTCCCACCACAGCTATAAATCTGTTTCAGATAAGCCCCCAGATTTTATCACAGATTGATTTACCAATCTTGGAAATTTTAAGTAATTAATCTCCTCCAATATTTCCTTTAATACAAACTATTTGCTCGTCCTTTGTCAGATATAGTCATTTATTATTCAATCACGAAAAAAGTCCAGATACCCAACTCATTCAGATGTGGCCCAGAGAAACCACACTCACAGGCAGCACTGTCTGAGCTGCAGAGCTTGTAGCTGTGCTGTTAGGCATAGGGCAGGGTCATTGGCACAGGGAGAAATGCTGCCTTCACGTGGTCCCCAGGTGCTGTGGGCATTGATAATCTCCTCAGCTCAGTTACAAAAATTGCAAATCAGAAATCAACTGCTTGTTGCACTCAAAAGTAAAGTGGGCCAGGGTGGGTGTCTCCACTAATTAGAACTCTCCCCCTGCACCACCCAGCCATGAGTTATTGGGAGGATCTTCATGTTTCACAGACCCTGTCTGTCATTCTTTTTCAGACATCTATTTGATTCTTTGTCCTTTTACATTAATTCATCTACTGAAACAATGAACATACCAGAAGACTGATCCCTCTGTAACTCTTAATCATGTAATAGTGTGCAAACTCAGCTCGCAACCTGTGGGGCTGACATGTATTGAGAGTATGCAATGACAGACATCACATCTGTGGTAGTGGAGTATAGGTTGTACAGTGCCACAGAGAGATCAGAATGCTAATTGGATTTAACTTTAGAAGTTAAAAAAAGAACCCAGTTATGGAATTTAACAAATGAGACTGAGCACTTTAGAGCAATGGGATAAAAAATGTGACATCAGGACAATTCCAGGACACACAACCTACAATTGCAATCTTTGGGGGGAGCAATAGTATGAACACCTGGACCCTCTTCAGAGTCTGGTAAACTCAATGTCAGGTTTCAAGAGATAACATGTTATTGCTGTTATAATTTCATAAACACATAGAGCAAGGTGTTCCTTCAGCTTGATAACAAAACCATCAGATATTTATCTTTTTTCTTCTGACTTATTTCTCTTAGCATAACCTCTTCCAGCCCCATCCATGTTGCCACAAAAGGCATGAGTTTACCTTTTTTGATTGTTGAGTAATATTCCATTGTGTGTATATATCACATCTTCTTGATACATTCACCAGTTTTGGGGTATTTAGGTTGTTTCCATATCTTGGCTATTGTAAATAGTGCTGCAAAAAATATAGGAGTGCAGGCTTCCTTCTGGATAAGAGTTTTGGTGTCCTTTGTGAAATCTCCCAGCGGGTGTCCAACAAAAACACACCCCAGAGGCAGCACTGTCTTGGCTATGGGACCTAGCCCCTGACAACAGGAGCACTGCCTGGGCACAGGGTGATGCTGCCAACACCTGCTCCCCCCCCTGCTGCTGGGGGCATTGATGGTCCCCTCAGCTCAGTTACAAAAATTGCAAACCAGGAATCAACTGCCTGTTGCTCTCAGGGTGATGTGGGCCAGTGCAGATGTCTCAGCTAATTAGAACTCTCTCCCTGCACTACCCAGTCATGAGTTACTGGGAACTGTGCCAAAGAATCTCTGTATTTTAAAGACCCTGTTTTCTCCCCCCAGATGTCAATTTTACTTTTTGATCTTTTTATATTAGTTCACCCACTGAAACAATGACATCAGTGGAAGATGGCCAGCTACATAGCAGGGGGCCTTGCAATAGCAGCAGCACTTCAGATAACAACTTCTGTGGGTTCACATGTACTAAGTTGCGCATCTTACAGAGAGCACATTGTAGGAGTGGATAGTAGATAGCGCTGTGTCATGTAGAGGTTTAGCAAGCTTATCTTGATTTGATATAACAAAGTAACAAAAAAATTCATCCATGGAATTTAACAAAGGAGGGTGAACACTTGGGACAAACATTGTAAAACATGACATAGGAGCCATTCTAGGACATGTGAGTGCTAAGTGACTATTTGTGCAGCAAGAGCCCCAAGACCCTGACCCTCCTCAGGTATAACAAATAAAACCCAGGGGCCTCCCTGGTGGCACAGGCAGTTGAGCGCAGTGCTGTGAAGCTGTCTGCAGCCTCTGCAGCATGGGTTCGATCCCGGCCTACTGAGGAGATACCCACATGGTGTGGCAGGCCTCTCCTGTCTCTCCCGCTGCTCCCCTGAGAAGTGTATTTCAGTCGAACCACCTGTTCTGTTCCTGCTCTGTCTCTGGTGAATCCTCTCACCCTCCCGCACATCTGGCCTATACCCTGGTTCTTGTACAAATAAATAAATATTAAAAAAAAAAAACCTCAGTATTAGTTTCAAAAGATGAACCTAACATGTTATTCCTGTTATTTTCATAAACACACAAAAACTGAATAGCTTTTGAAAGTCAAAAGACTGATCTTTTATCATTTGATTTTTCACTGGAAGCAGTCTTATTTATTGTAAGCCTTCAACAGAGCCCTCTAACCCAGTAGGAAAAAGAAAGAGACACACTAATTGTTTTTGAATAGTTTAGTCTTCACTGAGAAAACCACAGGTCTGTGAATTATCAAAAAATTTCAAGGAATTCATGATGGAGAGAAAGGAATGCAAGGTAAATTCATGACCATAAAATACATGAAAGGAGGGGGAATTCCATAATACAGTCTATTTTCAATGAGTTCACAAAATTATTGCCTCAAAATTTTCAGTGTATGTCAAATGATTCAATGTCCATTTTCCCACAGCTCAAAACTGTGCTATGAATTTCTTTTTTCATGCATCTTTATACCTACTGCTTCACTGAATTACCAAGGAAAGACAAGTGGACAATAATAAGGTTTGGGTGAAGCAGACTCTTTTCTCATGTGTGCATAACCAGGTGGGCAATGCAACACGAGAACCCTATTTCCTGTGTGGGGAGCAGCATCACCCCCAGGAACTACATAAACACCCTTCCAGACCTTCAGAGACACTGAGCTCCCTCCTGGAGGCACAACTGCACACACGTGTCAGGGCACACACACCCCATGGTGCCCTCCAGCCTGCTGTGGGCCCTGGTGGTCTTCACCTGCTCTGGTAGGCCCGGGGCCAGTCAGGGCTGGGAGGATGGGAGGACAGCACCGGGCACAGGGTGCTTGGCATGGATGAGGGGGAAGGAGGACTGGGGATAGCCGGTATATGATGATTTCAATAGTTGATTTTTGGACACAAAATTATTTTCTTTTTTTTTAACTATTTAATTTTATTTATTTGTTTATTTTTTTAATTTTATTTTTATATTCCCCATACAATTGCAACTTCCTTATTTTGATTCCAATCCCTCCTTTCCCCGCCCCCCACCCCCATAGAGTGGACACAAAATTAGAATAATTCTATAATATTTTATTCACTGCATCAGCTGTATTTTCTGTTTTTCTCCATAGGATCCAGTGTGGCCCAGAAAGTTATTCAGAACCAGCCAACTACAGCTAAACAAGAGGGATCAGCTGTCACCTTCAATTGCCAGTTCGAAACAAGTTGGAGTAACTACATTCTTTATTGGTACAAGCAGCTTCCTGATGGAAAGATCACACTCATTATTCATCATCTTTCATCTTCTGGCAACAAAGCAAAAAATGATCGCTATTCTATAGACTTCCAGAGAGCAAAGAGAACCATCTCCCTCACCATCTCACCCTTGCAATGGGAAGATTCAGCCAAGTATTTCTGTGCTCTCAGTGAGATGCACTGTGTTTGAAGAGATAGTAAAAGCTGAACAAAAACCCTGAGCTCAAGAAGAGTAGGACCTCTGCTTGGCAGCCAAACTGAAATCACACCTGCACCTCCCAGACAGGCGATGGTGGTGACTGTGGTTTCATCATCTGTAGTCTGGACTGGGGTGACTTCTGAGTAAAAGCTCCTCTTATGTCATTTGGAAAGATGTGTCCAGAGAAATTTCTTTTAAATCATTCTCAGTCATGAATTTTTGACTTAACATCAGTCTTACAGACAATATAAAGAGTTGCCTAACACTAAAAAAACTTGCCCCACAATCATTTCAAGTGGCAGCTGCATTTAGAGATGCTCACATCACAGGCTGGATCTTGTCATCTAGAATCACCACGAAAATCATTCTTAGCTCTTTCCTCATAGGCTTTGTGTCAATTAAGATACAATCAAAGAAGCAGAACCAGTATGAGTGATGTAGAGTAAGAGATTTTAATTACAAGGTTTAGAACTCTTGCCACTGCTGGAACAGGTAGAGGAATCTGTGCAAAGCTCTTATGTTTGCTTTGGCCACACAGCCTGAATTTGCTATAATTCAGTTGGATTAAACTTTGTAAGGAACCTTGGATGTAAAGAAAAGCATGGACAAACTGACCTGTTTATTTTCAAGCTAGAACCCATGAGGACAATTAGAAACCAGACAAAATACAGCTGTCTACTGTCACTTACTTATGGGCTTAGGCACCTTCAGGGGAAGTGGGTATCATTTGCATCCTGCTACATACAGACCTGGCCCAAGACAGAGAGAGGCTGAGAGAGGAGACCTGGTGGGGGCAGGGAAGGGGGGCTGTGAGTTAGCAATAAAATGGGGCAGGGCAGAGCAGGAGCAGCACCTGAGAGTTGCCACCATGCTTGCAGAAGACAAATCATGGCTGCTGCATCACTGCTGCTCTCCACATCTTGCCCAGACATCTTTGTGACCAGCCCTAACCCAACGTAATATAGGAAGCAAGTTCTGGGGAACACATTTTCAGAAAGTTGAGTTGAGACAAATCAATGCCACAACAGTGACCCCAAAACAAAATATCCCTCCCTACCAAAGAGCATCAAGTTCATTTATCCATCTTTGGACAAAGTTCTTAATCCCCTCTTGATGAGCCACTCTCCATTGCTACTTTGTAGTTGTTAACCTCTCAGTTCACTTCATAATGAACCAATATGATTAGCTAATATGATTAACTTTAATTAGCACCTCTTATGCTACTGCACATAAGCAAATGTGTAATGGGAGTAAAAATGGGTATTGTACACATATATGTATACCAAAATGAAAAAGCATTTCAAACTATTCTCCAATAAATCATGTGATTATGGCTGGCTCATGTGATTATTATAGCTCATGTATTTATAACCAGCTCTTCCATTCCCCATTGCATAGTCTCTTTGCCCATAGCCAGCACCTCCATTTTCTGCTCTACCTGACTTTTATTTAAAACAAGTTTCTTATTCAGGAGCAATGCTACATGGAATATCATAAAGTTAAGTACAGAATTTTACAAATTCACCTCTTGGAGAGGTTGTTCTGGCAGAAAGATTGCCGAAACAATGGGAAATCCATATTCAAAGTGTCTATTTATTGGGAGAGAGGTGGTGGGGGAGTCTTTTAAATTTCCAGAGAAAATCAACACTTTGTTCTCTAGGAAACATAATCAAGAATGATGCCTCATGAAAAATCACAAGTAACAGATGAAAACAATTTTAAATGGCGTATTTAAAAAAAATAAAGCTTTTAAGCTACCTCCTCATAAACAGGAAAGCATCATTTTAAATTCTTTGTTAAAGATCACTAAGAATTTGGAGTGTCAATGCACACACTATTAAACTAAATTCAAATTTTGAACATATAAAAAGTTCATATAAATCTATAAGAAAAGGTAACAATGAATGTGGCAAAAAACTTGAAAAACCTTGTCAGAAGTATGATATCCCACAGCTTATAAACATGGGGGGAAGCATTTGATATTAGATGACAATCAACTGACCTCAGGACAACTGACTGGAACTCTCAGGGATGGTGACATTTCTGGTTTCACTGGAACACACACATCCCTGCCCTCCCCCCTCCCCCAAAGCTCAACAAAGTAGAAAAGAAAATGCCATATCTAGGTACAAATTGCCACAGAATCAATAGATGAGGAAATCATTCACCAATCATTAACTGTGCTGAATGTTTCAACCAGTCTCTTCACAATTTTTTTTGCTGGAACGAATAAGGAGCATGAGGAGGGAGATATTACTCCTGAAACACTACAAACATATTTTCCTATCAGAACTTTGCCCCATGCCTCACCCTCTGCATGTAATGTCATCCCCCCAAATGTCTGCACAGTGTACCTCCCAGCTTCCTTTATGTCTGTATTCAAATGTCACTACTTGGGGCAGTCTTAAGCTAACTCCTCTTCTTGAGAACCAGGCTCCAGCACACTCCAAGCAACAGGAAGGAAAGCAGCTCTTTGCTGAAGTGTGCCCCCTGGTGTGTGAAATGTTTTGTGAGCCTGACACTGGCCTCCTGCTGCCTCCAGTGTTCCCTGGCCTCAGTGTGGCTTGGCCTGGCCCCTATAGGAGCTGCTGTTGCTGACCAGTTAGTGAGATTACCATTATAGATTTTTAATCTGGTTTTTAATTTTTTCCTTGCAGTTATGAACATGATTGACTTCAAAATGACAAATATAAGACATAGGTAAGTTTGGGTTGAAGAGTAATGAAGTTATCCTGGGGAAAAATGACATTTGTTGTGTAAAGTGGGAGGTTTTTTTTGTGTTAAATGTGATTGTCTACAGTTCTGTCTTTAGTATATCATCAAAGCACCCCGAAAAGGAACAAGGGATGGAGAAAAATAAACCATTGTAGGGGACACTGCTTAGTGTTCCCGACGTGTTATCCTAAGCCACCCATGTCCCTACACAGTATGCTTGATGGGCCGATTTCCCCTGAATAGTAAGAAACATGACAGACCTTGATACTTATGATCATATTAGAAATGAGGTCAATGTTGATGTTAGATTCCACTGCAGGTGCAGATTGTGGTTCCAGCTCCCCCCTGCACTCCTCCCGACACACTGCAGGCATCTGGCTGAGAACCTAAACAGGGAAGTCACATGGAATCATTTGCGTGGCTTGTCTGATTTCATTTATTTCTGTCTGGATCTTGTAGATTGGTTCTGTCCCCCATTAGGAAGGCAGCCCCTCCCAAAATCCCAACAACATTTCATAGTATAGGCAAAATGGTTGAAGCTGGTCACAAAGTACAAAATTCCAGACCTAAGTCCTAGGATATAACGAACAGCATGGCAATTGCCTATTCTCTTATAATTATATAAAATTATATATGTGAAAGAAATTTGCAATACCATTATATATATATATATACATATATATATACACAAACACACACACACGTGTGTGTGTGTGTGTGCCGTGATTTTCTTGAGACTGAAGGATACAGAGTTAATAAGAGAAAAGCTATTATCAAAATAGTAGAGGGAGGGAGAATAGGAAACACCATAACCTCACCAGAACTTCTGTGGCTTCGCATGGCATGTGAGGAAACCAAGGAGAGCCTGAAGACTATTGCCACACGTTATCACAATTATTATCACAGACTATCTTTACGGTTGTCGAACAAAACATATTTTTGAAAGTCAGAAGGGCTGATCTTTAATCATCACTTTTGAAGCAGCTTCATTCATTATAAAAATTAAGCAGAACTCTAAGACCTAGTAAGAGAGAAGAAAGGCACATGGGGTAGTTGCTGTGAATAGGATAGTCTCCACTCAGACGTTGTTTTTGGATTTTCTAAAAAAAGTCATTAGATTCAGTGTGGACAGAGATGGGTGCAAGGTAAATGAATGACCATTAATTAGATACAAGAAGGACAAAATACATAGTAAATTCTATTTTACAAAGGGCATCAATATTATTCCACTGATTCTATCCTCCAGCTCAAACCTGTAATACTAATTGCTTTTTCACATCCAGCCTCACTTAATTACCAGGCAGAGAAGTAGACAAAGTCAAAGTTTAGGGAAAGTCAGACTTTTTTCTTCTGTGAATAACCAGGTGGGCAATGCAACATGAGAAACCCTGTTTCCTGTCTGGGGAGCTGCATCAAGGCCCAGGAACTACATAAGTACCCTTCCAGGCTCTCATAGTCACTGAGCTCTCAGCTGGAGGCATAACTGCATACACGTGTCAGGGCACACAAGCCCCATGGCGCCCTCCAGCCTGCTGTGGGTCCTGGTGGCCTTCACCTGCTCTGGTAGGCCTGGGGCCAGGCGGGGGTGGGGAGGATGGGAAGACAGCACCAGGCTCACGGTGCTTGACATGGAGGTGGGGGAATCGAGGTTGGGGAGAAGCCAGGATATGATAATTTCAATGTGGTTTATTTTTGTACCAGAATAGTCTAATTCTATAATATTTTATTCACTGCATCATCTCTGTTTTCTGATTTCCCTACAGGATCCAGTGTGGCCCAGAAAGTGACCCAAAACCAGTCAGCTATAACCACACAAGAGTGGTCAACAGTCACCCTCAACTGTCAGTATGAAACAAGTTCGATTAACTACTATCTTTATTGGTACAAGCAGCTTCCTGATGGAAAGATCAATTACCTTATTCATCAGTCTTCTTCTTCTACCAATAATGCAGAAAAGGGTCCCTGTGTTATAAACTTCCAGAAAGCAGAGAAAGCCATCTCCCTCACCATTAAATCCTTACAACTGGATGATTCAGCAAAGTACTTCTGTGCTCTCTGGGAACCCACTGTGCTTGAGAGGACACTAAAAGCCAAACAAAAACCCAGACCTCAAGAAAACCAAGAGCCCTCCTCAGGACCCAAGCTGAAATCACACCTGCAGGTCCCAGATAGGCAATGGCAGTGCCTGTGCTTGCTCCATACGTGGTCTTTTCAAAGAATTGGATTCTGAGTAAAACCTCTTTCTATGTCATTTAGAAGCAGGTGTCCAGAGTAACTTCTTCTAATACATTCTAAGTCATGAAGTTTTGACTTCAAATCAATCATCCAGAACACATGTATATTGTCTGATGCTGAATTAAATTCCCCATAAAATTTCAAGGCCAGCTGTACTTCAAGATGCTCATAAAAAAGTGGGTCTAGTCATCTGTAATATTAAGGATGAACATTTCCTTAACATTTCCCTGTTAAGCTTTGTGTCATCTAAGGTATAATCAGGGAAGCAGAACTGCCAGGAATGATGTAAAATAAAAGATTAATCACAAGGATTAGCCCTCATGCAATTGCTGGAACTGGTGGAAAATCTGTGCGAAATGGTTGTATTTGAATTGGCTATACAGCCTGTATTGGCTATACAATAGTTTAAGGTAATATTTGAATGGAAACTTGCATGTGCACAAATGTGCACACACACTGATGAAAGTATGTACTATTGTAGAATCCCTGAGGACAATTTGAACCCAATAAGGCAAATCAAATTCCTCTGTCTCTGACCTGGTCAGTCTCATGTAGTAGGTATCATTTTGCATGAGGCTACATGCAGACCTGGCCCAAGACAGAGAGAAGCTGAGAGAGGAGACTGGTGGGGGTGGGCTTTAAGTTAGCAATAAGATGAGGGCAGAGTAGGAGCAGTACGTGTGAGTTGCCACTCTTCCTGGAGCCTGCACCAGCCTGCAGAAGACAAAATATGGCTGCTGGGTCACAGCTGCCCTCCAGATCTTGCACAGACATCTTTGGGATGAACCTTAACCCAATACAAGGAGCTGATTCTGAGAAATATATTTCCAGAAAGTTAAGTGGAGACAATACAAAGGTACCACTGTGCCCTACCAAAACAAGCTAAACCTTGCTGACAGAGAGGACCAATCACATTTATTTGTAGTTGGGCAAAGTTCTTACTCCTTTTTGCTGAGTCACACTCTCCCATTGATATCCTGCCTTGACTTTGTGATTACTGTAATAAGTAACCATCTTATGCTAATTAGATACACAGAGATAAATGGAAAGGGGAGTAAAAAATGGTTAATATACATAGAAGTATATTTATATAAAGATACAAAAGAATTTCATAATATTTCTTCAAATTATCATTATCATGTGATCATAACTGATAGTTATAACTGCTTTTTCCACAGCCCATTGCATAATCTCTTTGCTCACAGCAAGCACCTTCACTCATTGCTATTTCTATTTTCTTTCTTTATTTTTTTTTAAAATGTATTTATTTATAAAAGAACTGGGGTATAGGCCAGATGTGCAGCATGGTGAAAGATCTCACCAGAGAGAGAGCAGGGAACAGAACAAGCAGACTATTGAAATACACTGCTGAGGGGTGCAGTGGGTGCGACAAGAAAGGTCTGCCACGCCATATATGGGATTCTTTTAATTTTTTTAAAAAATTCATTAGATTATGGATAGTGAGAAATGAGTGCAAGGTAAGTGACTGACCATTAAATAGATACAGGAGGCGCCAACTACAAAATACATTCCATTCTAAAGGGGTCCCAAAATTATTCCACTTAATATTCCACAGAAAATTACCATGTGTGTCAATGATTTAATACTTGTCAATGTTCAGATCAAACTGTAATACTTATTGCTTTTTCATATACAGCTTCACTCAAATTCCAGGGAAGAGAAGTAGACAAAGTCCAAGTTTTCTCATCTTTGGCAATGCAACATGAGAAACCCTATTTCCTGTGTGGGGAGAAGCATCACCCCGAGGAACTACATAAACGCCCTTCCAGGCTCTCAGACACACTGAGCTCCCCGCTGGAGGCACAACTGCACACACGTGTCAGGGCACACATGCCCCATGGTGCCCTCCAGCCTGCTGTGGGCCCTGGTGGCCTTCACCTGCTCTGGTAGGGCCGGGGCCAGGCAGGGGTAGATGAGGATGGAAGGAGAGGACCGGGCACAGGGTGCTTGTATGGATGAGGAGTGAAGGAGGACTGGGAGAGCCAGAATGTGATGATTTCAATATGGTTAATTATTAACAATTAAGAATTAATTCGCTCATAATAATTAACGGCATCATCTCTGTTTTCTAATTTTCCCCCACAGGATCCAGTGTGGCCCAGAAAGTTATTCAAGACCAGCCAGCTATAGCTACTGGAGAGCATTCAGCAGTCACCCTGAAGTGTTGGTATGAAACAAGTTGGAGTGCATACTCCCTTTCCTGGTACAAGCAGCTTCCTGATGGAAAGATGACTTACATCATTGAGCAGTATTCTTCTGCCAAGAATGCAAAAAAGGGTCGCTATACTATAAACTTTCAGAAAGCAGACAAAACCATCTCCCTCAACATTGTGTCCTTACAATTGGCTGATTCAGGCATGTATTTTTGTGTTCTTCGAGAAGACACTGTGTTTGAGGTGATAGTAAGAGCTGAACAAAAACACCAGAGCTGTGGAAGGGTAAGACCTCTTCTAGGCAGCCAAGCTGAAATCAGACCTGCACATCCCAAATAGGCAATGGGAAGTGACTGTGGCTGCCTCTTCCATGGTCTAGCTCCGGGGATTGAATTCTAAGTAAAACCTCCGTCCATGTCGTATGGAAACAGGTGTCCAGGGTAACTTTCTTTTAATACAATCTCAGTCATGAATTTTTGACTTGAAATTAGTCTTACAAGATATGTATAGTTTCCTACAACCCAAATGCCCAAAAATAGATGACTGGATCAAGAAGATGTGGTACATATACACCATGGAATATTACTCAGCATTCAAAAAAGATAAACACATGCAGTTTGCAGCAACATGGATGGCTCTGGAAGGGATCATGCTCAGCAAAATAAGCCAGAAAGAAAAAGAAAAATACCGGATGGTCTCACTCATAGCAGGGATCTAGAAAACCTAAATAAGGGACCAGGAAAAAGAATAACTATAAGAAATAAAAAATCAAAATCAACAAACAACTATGAACCAGAGACACACTGTGGGGGCGGTGGGGAAAGGAGGGGATGGGGTCAAAATAAGGGGGTTGCAATTGTATGGAGAATATAAAAATAAAATTAAAAAAAAATTTTCAGAAGAAAATGCTATTGACAAATGGTTAGTAGTTCTTAGTAAGTATAGCTAATAAACTAACTTTTGTTGATAAATGAAAAAAAAAGAATATGTATAGCTTCCTAATGTTGAAAAACTTGCAGCACAATATTTCAAGCAACAGCTGCACTGAAATATCCTCACATTACAAGGTGGGTCTAGTCATCGGGAACCGTCATGAAAATCATTTCTTCCACCCTTTGCGCTTATGCTTTCCCCTTAGCACTTGGGGAGATGTTTTCCCTTCACAGTAAATATAAGAAAAGCTGTAGACTCATGCCAAATAGTGCTTAGGTGCTCCTAACACCAACATGCCTGAATGCTTGAATTAAGAGTCCCCATGGGTTCTTCTTAGAACTTCTAATAAATTAAGCAGTGCTATGTCAACAATGAATATGATTTTATTGATGTTGCCATTCAGCCTGCAATACAGTAGTCAGAGGATGGATTTTCATTTCATTTGTTTGACTGATGCTGCTCTTCCATGACTTGGTGGCTGAGTAGGAGGAAATGGATGGTGACTTGTTTGTCTCTTATGTGGAAGGCAAGGACCAGAGGGCATATTTCACCTTAGAATCAGCTTGGAGGCAAGAGAAGAACCAAAATATGCATGAATATTTCCCATCACACTCATAAATTTGTTGCATATATGCTCTAGATCTTATCACAGATTAATTCACTAAACTTGAAAATTTTAAATAATCAATCTCCTCCATATTTCCTGTCATAGGAACTATAAGCCTGTGCTTTACCAGATGCAATTTATTATTATACAATCACAAAGAAAGATCAAATCTCCCAAAAGGTGTCCTGACTCATTCAGACATGGCCCAGAGAAACCACACTCACAGGCAGCACTGTGTGAGCTGCAGAACTTGCAGTTGTGCTGCCAGGCACAGGGCAGGGCCATCGGCACAGGAGGGGAATGCTGCCTTCATTTCCCCGCAATGCTGCTGTGAGTGTTGATGGTCTCCTCAGCTCAGTTACAAAAATTGCAAGCAGTCATCAGTTGCCTGTTGCACTCAGAGGTGAAGTGGGCCAGAGTGTACGTCTCAACGAATTAGAACTTTCTCCCTGAACCACCCAGATGTGAATTGTTTTGACCTGTAGCAGAGAATCTTCATATTTCAGAGACCTATAGACCTATAGATGCTTCTTTGACTTGTAATATATTAGATACAGTTACATCATCAATGAATATGATTTTATTGTTATTAACATTCAGTTGAACTACAACGTGGAGAGAGGGAGAAGTCAGAAGATTATTGTGATTTCATCTGTTTGAGCGATGCTGCTATTGCATGACTCGGTGGTTGAATAGGAGGGAAGGGCAGGGTGACTACTGTTTGTCTCTTCGGTGAAAGCCAAGGACTAGGGGGCACATTTCATCTTGGAATCAGCTTGAAAGCAAGAGAACAACCAAAATACGGATGACTGCCGGAGACCAGCCTCTGGCAAAATGTCGTGTCAGGGGTTCCTGAAAGGATGAGACGGCCTCGGCGACACGTTAAGGGCTGAAACTTAAGGGCTGAGGGGAAGGGGGTGAGGTAGAATGAGGAGACACTGACACTTGGTGAGGTGCTAGTATCTTCTGCCAAGAGGCTCAGCTGGTCTTTATTTATTTATTTTTGGTAAGCAGAAAAATTACGTCATCATGTGCAAAGCAGAAACAATTAGTGTATTTTATTCCCATGGGCTACTGGCTCCTACGGGTCCCAGCTAGACGGTAGCCTTCAAGGTTAATAGATAAAAAACCAAACCTAACAGTAAAACTTATGTCTAAAACTTAGACAATTACCTAAGACAGTGGATAGCCGCCAGCACATCCCTATCAGCTACAGCCTCAGCATCAAAAGACGATTCTATTCATATGGCCTTCAGCCGGAGACCAGCTGCTACTCAGCTATCAGAACTTTTTCTACCTAGAAACTTCTTAACACAGTTGACTTCATTTAAAAACTTTCCTAAGAAACTTCTAAATAAAAAGGAACTTCAAAAAAAGCAAAAGAAGGGCTTACTATAATAGTTGTGCTGGTTTGCTTGTCAGATATGTACAATAAATTGTGTCCCATTGTCAAGTGGGCCAAATTGTGTAGTAACTAATTTCTAAACAGGTAATTTTCCATGCCAATTGCTTGCAGTCTACTGATACATATAATTTATTGCCTAATGTACTTTTCTGATAAATTTTTCTCTTTTTATGACCAAGAACAAAAAATAAAGGGATGTTAAGTCTTCAGCCCCACGGTGTGAGGCATAAGGAATCTTCGGCCCCACGGTGTGAGGCCCTTTGAACTTCGCTGCTTGCCAGTGTCTTATCTGGCTGGGGCATCAAGGCCTCCTGCAGCAGATGACTATTTCCTATCACACCCAATAATTTGTTTCAGATATGCCCTCAGATTGTATCCCAGATTAATTCACAAAACTTGGAAATTTTAAGTAATCAATCTCCTTAAATAGTTCCTTTAATAACTGTGTTTTAACAGTTATAAACATTCATTATTCAACCAGAAAAGAAAGGTGAAATCTCCCAGTGGGTGTCCAACAAAAACACATCTCAGAGGCAGCACTGTCTTGGCTGTGGGACCTGGCACTTGACAACAGGAGCACTGCCTGGGCACAGGGTGATGCTGCCACCAACTGCTGCCCTCCTGCTGCTGGGGGAATTGATGGTCTCATCAGCTCAGTTACAAAAATTGCAAACCAGGAATCAACTGCCTGTTGCTCTTAGGGTGATGTGGGCCAGAGCAGATGTCTCAGCTAATTAGAACTCTGTCCCTGCACTACCCAGTCATGAGTATTGGGGCCTATGCCAAAGAATCTCTTTTTTTCAAGGACTCTGTTTTTCCCCCAGATGTCAAATTTACCTTTTGACATATTAGTTATATTAGTTTTATATTAGTTTTATATAGTTTTATATTAGTTCACCCACTGAAATAATGAAATCAGTGGAAAATGGACAGCTACATAGCAGGGGGTCTTGCAACAGCAGCGGCACTTCAGATAACAACCTCTGTGGGCTCACATGTACTAAGTTGCGCATCTTATAGATAGCACATTGTAGGAGTGGATTGTAGATAGCGCTGTGTCATGTAGAGGTTTAGCAAGCTTATCTTGATTTGATATAACAAAGTAACAAAAAAATTCATCCATGGAATTTAACAAAGGAGGGTGAACATTGGGACAAATAGGGTAAAACATGACATAGGAGCCATTCTAGGACGCGTGATGTGCTATGTGACTATTTGTGCAGCAAGAGCCCCAAGACCCTGACCCTCCTCAGAGTATAATAAATAAAACTCAAGGGCCTCCCTGGTGGCACAGGTAGTTGAGCGCAGTGCTATGAAGCTGTCCCCAGCCTCTGCAGTGCAGGTTCGATCCCGGCTGGCTGGAGAGATACCCACATGGCATGACAGACCTCTCCTGTCTCGCCTGCGGCTCCGCTCAGAAGCGTATTTCAGTCGATCCACCTGTTCTGTACCCTGCTTTGTCTCTGGTGAATCCTCTCACCCTCCCGCACATCTGGCCTGTACCTTGGTTCTTGTACAAATAAATAAATCTTTAAAAAAAAAAAAACCTCAGTGTTAGGTTCAAAAGATGACATGTTATTCTGTTATTTTCATAAACACACAAAAACTGAATAGCTTTTGAAAGTCAAAAGACTGACCTTTTATCATTTGATTTTTCACTTAAAGCAGTCTTATTTATTGTAGGTCTTCAACAGAGACCTCTAACCCAGTAGGAAAAAGAAAGAGACACACTAATTGTTTTTGAATAGGTTAGTCTTTGCTGAGAAAACCACAGGTCTGTGAATTATCAAAAAAATTCAAGGAATTCAAGATGGAGAGAAAGGAATGCAAGGTAAATGCATGACCATAAAATACATGAAAGGAGGGGGAATTCCATAATACAGTCTAATTTCAATGAGTTCACAAAATTATTGCCTCAAAACTTTCAGTGTATGTCAAATGATTCAATCTCCATTTTCCCACAGCTCAAAACTGTGCTATGAATTTCTTTTTTCATGTATCTTTACACCTACTGCTTCACTGAATTACCAAGGAAAGACAAGTGGACAATAAAAAGGTTTGGGTGAAGCAGACGCTTTTCTCATCTTTGCATAACCAAGTGGGCAATGCAACATGAGAAACCCTATTTCCTGTGTGGGGAGCAGCATCACCCCGAGGAACTACATAAACACCCTTCCAGACCTTCAGAGACACTGAGCTCCCTGCTGGAGGCACAACTGCACACACGTTTCAGGGCACACACACCCCATGGCGCCCTCCAGCCTGCTGTGGGCACTGGTGGCCTTCACCTGCTTTGGTAGACTGGAGGCCAGGCAGGGGAGGGGAGAGGATGGAAGGACAGCACCGGGCACAGGGTGCTTGGCATGGATGAAGAAAGAAGGAGGACTGGGGGAAAGCTGGCATGTGATATCAATAGTTGATCTTTGGACACAAAATTATTCTAATTCTATAATATTTTATTCACTGCATCAGCTGTATTTTCTGATTTTCCCCATAGGATCCAGTGTGGCCCAGAAAGTTACTCAGGACCAGCCAACTACAGCTAAACAAGAGGGATCATCAGTCACCCTCAACTGTCAGTATGAAACAAGTTCAAGTGACTACTATCTTTATTGGTATAAGCAGCTTCCTGATGGAAAGATCACATTCATTATTCATCGCCATTCATCTGCCGGCAACAAAGCAAAAAATGGTCGCTATTCTATAGACTTCCAGAAAGCAAAGAAAGCCATCTCCCTCACCATTTCACCCTTGCAATGGGAAGATTCAGCCAAGTATTTCTGTGCTCTCAGTGATACACTGTGTTTGAAGTGATAGTAAAAGCTGAACAAAAACCCTGAGCTCGAGAAGGGTGAGACCTCTGCTCAGCAGCCAAGCTGAAATCACACCTGCACATCCCAGACAGGCGATAGCAATGACTGTGGTTGCATCATCTGTGGTCTGGATCAGGGGTGACTTCTGAGTAAAACCTTCTCTTATGTCATTTGGAAAGAGGTGTCTGGAGAAATTTCTTTAAATCATTCTCAGTCATGAATTTCTGACTTAAAATCAGTCTTACAGACAATATAAAGAGTTGCCTAACACTGAAAAAACTTGCCCCACAATCATTTCAAGTGGCAGCTGCATTTAGAGATGCTCACATCACAGGCTGTGTCTAGTCATCTGGAATCATCATGTAAATGTTTCACTGAGCCCTTTGCTCTCAGGCTTTGTTTCAACTAAGTATAATCAGGGAATCAGAAGTATTGTGAGTGACAAAATAAGAGTAGAGTCAGAATATTAGAACTCATGCAATTTGTTTTATGATTAATCAAAATATTTAACCAATATCATTAACATTAATCAGTAAATCTTATGCTACTACATATAGGCAAATGATAAGAGATAGTAAAAAGGATTAATATTAATATATTTATATTGAAAAAGAATTTTCACAATTATATCTGTAGATAATGATGTGACCTTAGCTGATAATTATAACTATGTCTTCTATTACTCACTGTATAATCCCTTTGCTCTGTAGCAAGCAACTTCACTCAGTTCTATACCTGAATTTTATATAAAACAACCTCCTTATTCAAGAGCAAAGCTACATGGAAATTCTTTAAAGCTGAATAAAGGATTCTGCAAGTCCACTCCTCTCATTTGCCAGAAACATTGTTGGCATGAAAAAGAAATCCATTTCAAAGTATCTTTGAGTATGAGGGGGGAATCTTAACAATAGTCAAAGAAAATTGGTACATCACATTCTGGGAAATGTAGTCAAGAATAATGCCTGCGTTTTCATCAGACGTAATAGAAGCCACTATGGGAAAGCATTTTTAAATTGCTTAAATAAAACAAATACAACTCTCAAGGTAGTTTCCCATAATCAAGAAAGTATAAATTTAAATTCATTGTGAAAACTCACTTAAGAAAGTTGAAAGTCAATGCACAGAGTGTTAAACTACACCTGCAAAACACTTAATATTATCAGTCTTTACAGAAATGAAAATATAACCCCATGGAGTGTTCCATTTGTGTCCTCTCAGAATCCCAGTGTGTTGATGCGGCCATGAGGAAATGAACCCTAGAGGACAGGGGATACAATGAATGCTTCCAGAGGAACTGATGGTTGAGCAAGTTTCTTTGAACCTATGTGGAAAGAAGAAAATAAACCAGAGACACACTACGGGGGTGGGGGGGGGAGGGGGGGCGGGGAAAGGAAGGACTAGAGTTAAAATAAGGGGGGGGGGTGCAATTGTATGGGGAATATAATCAAAATGAAAATGCATACATTGTGCAAAGATGAAAAAATATGTAAGAATTATATAAAATAAAATATTTAAATAAAAAAAGAAGAAAATGCAGTAACAGTTCATAGATTTGTTCACAAAACTGCCTTGAAGGAAAGACAGGTTTTAGTAGGAAAAAAGGTAATTGGCATTTCTAGAGTTTATCATATGTCAGGAATAAGGTACCCATTTCAGATCCATTATCTAATTTAAATATAAACCTCACCAGAAAAGTTTTTGTGCCCAATTTTTATATTTGGGAAATGACAGAACTATTCTAACTTTGACAAGCTTCTCTAACCTTAAATGTCAGCAGAGGGTAGCACCCTAAGCAGCAAGGTTTGGATGATGAGAATCAACTGACCCAGAACAGGGTGGCTGGAGGTCTTAGTGATGGTGACATTCTAGTTCTAACTGGAAACCCCCCCTCCCCCGCCACATGCACAAAAACAAAACAAAACAAAACAAAACAAAACAAAAAACTTGAGTATGCAGAGTAGGTACAAATTGTCCCATGATCAATAGATGAGGAAATCATCCACCAATCATTAATTGTGCCAATTGTTTTAACTAGCCTCTTCTAGTTTTGTGCTGGGAAAAATAAGGGGCTAGAAGGAAAGCAGATACTATTTCTGAAATACTGCAAGAATTTTTGTACATTAGACCTCTGCCCCATGCCTTGGCCATCATCTTTAATGCCATCCTCCCAACTGTCTGCCTGGTGTACCTCTGAACTTCCTTCATGTCTGTATTCAAATGTCATCACTTGACGGTCCTGAGCTACTCTCTCTTCTCCCTGAGAACCAGACTCCAGCACACTCCAAGCATCAGGAAGGAACACAGCTCTTTGCTGAATTGCCGCCCCCTGGTGTTGTGTGAAAATGTTTTGTGAGCCTGACACAGACCTCCTGCTGCCCTCCAGTGTTAGCTGGTTTGCCTATGGCCAAGCCTGGTCCCTACATGAGGAGAGAGGATTCTGGAGAAATTATTGTATTGGATGATTTTCATATGTGTTCTCATTTAATTTAAATGAAACTCTCTAAGTTTTGTTCTATCCTCCTTTTGGAAGGCAATTCTTGTCAAAATCTCAATAACATTTCACAGAAATAGAAGAAACAATCCTCAAATATTTATGAAACCTAGAACAACCCATAATAAAAGCAATCTTGAGAAAAAAGAACAAAGTTGAAAGTATCACATTTCCTGATATCCAACTACACTACACACCTATAGGAATCAGGACAGTATGATATTGGCATAAAACAGACAGCTAGATCACTGGAATGTGATAATTCAGAAATAAATCTCCACAAATATAGTCAATTTATGGCACAGAACTCAAGAGTGTGCAATGGGGAGTTAGCTTCTGATAAATGATGTTGGGAAAACTTGACTTCCACGTGCAAAAGAATGAAACTGTACTCCTATCTTACATGATACACAAAAATCTATTTGAAATGAAGAAAGATTTGAACAAAAGCCCTGAAACCATAATACTTCTAAAGGAAATATAGTGGGTAACTTCTTCAACACTGGTCTTGGCAATGATATTTTGGATTTGGCATCAAAGCAAAAAAACAAAATAAATGAGTGAGACAAAGTCAAACTAAAAGTTTCCAACAACAAAATGAAAGGGCAACCCACGGGATGGGAGAGCATTTTGCAATCAAATACCTGAAAATCAGGTAAAATAGCCAAACTGAATATAGGAATCATCCAGGCCAATAGAAAAAAAAAACTCAAAATATTGACAGACTAAACAGGGCAATTTTTCCAAGAAGACATATAATTGGCCAAGAGGTACATGAAAAAATACTCACAATCCGCAACTATCAGGTAAATGCCTATCAAACCCACAATGAGCTATCACCTCACACCTGTGGAATGGCTGTTATCAAAAAAAAACAGCAATTATAAGTATTGGTGAGGATATGGAGAAATGGAAACACTTGTGCCTTGTTGGTCGAGCTATATTGGTGAAGTCATTATGGAAAACAGTATGAAGTTTCCTCAAAATATTAAAAATAAGACTACCATATGAGCAGTAATCACATTCTGGGTAAACAACAGAATCAAAAAAATTCACTATCCCAAAAAGATGTCTGAATCCCTGTCACTGCAGTATTATTTACAATTGTTTAGCCATGGAAACAACCTAAGTGTCTGTTAATGGATAATGGGTAAATAAAACACCCCCCCCCAGAGGAATATTACTTAGACATAAAAGGAAGAAATCCTGCCATTTGTGACAACATGGATGGAATTTGAAGGCATTACACTAAGTAAAATAAGTGAGGCAGAGAAAGACAAAACTGTATGATCTCACTTGTGTGTAAAAATTTTGAAAAGCTAAACAAAATCATTGGCACATTGAACATACTTGTAGATGCTTTTGGTGGAGGATGTGAATAAGCATAAATGGATGAAAGCGGTCACATGTAACATAAGTCCTGGGATATAAGTACATCATAGTGCTTGAGCAGAGTTTTTAAAAATTAAATAAATGGATGAAATTTGGATAGTATGTATATCTGATTACAGTAGCTTTCTTTTGGCTAAAATATACAGGGTTAAAATACTGGCCTACTGGGCCTCCCCGGTGGTGCAGCGGTTGAGCGCTGAGCTGTGAAGCTGCCTGCAGCCTCTGCAGCGCTGGTTCTATGCCTGGCCGCTGGTGAGGGTCCCACATGGCACACAGACCTCTCCTGCTGCGCCCGCTGCTCCCCTTAGCAGTGTATTTCATCCTTCTGCCTGTTCTGTTCCCCGCTCTGGCACTGGTGAATGCTCCCACTCTCCCACGCTTCTGACTGTACCCAGTGCTTATATAAATAAATAAATAAATCTTAAAAAAAAATACTGGCCTACTTAGCATGCATGGTCGGCATAAGAGAATAGATATTACCAAGGATATTAGAGGGAGGGAAGGAGAATAGGGAAGATCTGGAACCTCTAGTGCTTCTGTTGCTTCATATGCTATGTGACCTGGGGGTTTCTATAAAGGAAGCAAGAAATTCTGAGGGCAGCTGACTATGAAATAATCTGATTATTCTCAGTGGGTTTCTATATGAGCCATCGAACAAAAATAAAACTTTTTGGACCTGATAATTAGACATAAAGCTCTTCTCCAGATGACTTTTCAGGATAAAATGGAAAAGAATCTTCATTCCTTCACTGTCCAGAGACAGACATATATTTATTTTGGAACCACTTATGCAATTAATATTTTTAAAACATTTTTATTTATAAAAAAGCATTTGGGCAAAGTTTTGTCTTTATAACAATAATAAGAGTTGTAAAATCTCACCAAACATATTTGTTTGTTCATGGCAACAACTTGGCTGAGTATCTGAATTCAGAAGACCCATGGATGCTTCAAAAATAGAACTTCTGATGAATTTAAGCATGTTACATCAATGAATTTGATTTTGTTACTGTTACCATTGAAATTTCAGTTCAACATGGAGAGATGACAGAATTTAAAAGATTATTTGATTTCATTTGTTTGAGCGATACTGCTGCTCTGTCCTGGTGCCGGAGTAGGAGGAAGGGCGTGGTGGCTCTGGTTTGTCTATCATGCAGAAGCCAAGGGCCAGAGAACACACTTCACCTTAGAGTAGGTTTGAAGGCAAGAGAACAACTAAAATGTGAATGAATATTTCCCATCATACCCATGTACTTGTTTCAGATGTGCCTCCAGATATTATCCAAGATTAATTTATTAAATTTGGAAATTTTAAGTCAAAGTCATCGATCTCCAATATTTCCTTCAATGCAAACTGTATTCCTGTTCTTTAGAAGATGTAATCAGGTATCATTCAATCACAAAGAATGGCCAGATTTCCCAACTGGGTGTCCTAACTTGCGGCTGTGCTATCAGGGGCAAAGGGCAGGGCCATCCGCACAGGAGAGAAAGCTGCCTTCGTGCTGTGCCCGAGTGCTGTGGGGATTGATAGTCTCCTTGGCTCTGTTACAAAAATTGCAAATCAGGAATCAGCTGCCTGTTGCTCTCAGAGGTGAAGTGGGCCAGAGTGTGTGTCTCAAATAATTAGTTGAATTATTGGGACCTGTAGCTGAGAATCTTCATGTTTCAGAGACCCTGTCTGTCATTCTTTTCCAGACATCTGTTTGCTTGTTTGTTCTTTTACGTTAATTCATACACTGAAACGATGAACATAATGGAACTGATCCCTCCATAGCTCATAGTCATGTAACATTGTGCAAACTTCAGCTCACAACCTGCGGGGTTGACATGAATTGAGAGTGTGCAATGATAGGCATCACATGTGTAGGAGAGAGATCTAGCATGCTCGTCTTGATCTGATTCTACAAGTTAACAAAAGAACCCAGCCACAGAATTTAATAAGCAAGACTGAACACTTTGACAAACAGCATAAAAATTGGGACATCAGAACCATTCAAGGACTCATGAGCTGACCATTGCTATTTACTTGTGTTAGAATAGTATGAGCAGCCTGATCCTCATAAGTGTCAAATAAATAACACTCAATGTCAAATTCAAGAGACAATATGTTATTCCTATTGTAATTTAATGACTGTATAAACAACTGAGTAGCTTTGGAAAGATAGGAGGATTGATATTTAATCATTTGATTTTGATTTCGAAGCAGTTTCATTGGTAAAACTGAACCTAAGATCTCAGTAAGGAAAGAGAAAGAGCTGCACTAATTATTCTGAGTAGAATAGTATTCACGGAGAACACCACAGATCTGTGAATTTTGGAAAAGTCTCATTAGATTTAGGTGAAGAAAAGTGAGTGCAGGTTATGAATGACCGTTAAATCGATTCAAGGAGGGCAAAATCCGAAATACATTCTACTTTCTACGAGACCCAAAATTATTCCACTGACAATTATCTATGTATGTCAAAGTGATTCAAAATTCATTTCCTTCAATACACAGTTGTAAATTAATTGCTTATTTCATGTCCCTTCTCATGTACTGCCTCGTATAATTACCAGAGAAAGACAAGTAGACTTGCCAAGTCAGACTCTTCTCTCAACTGTGTATAACCAGGCAGGCAATGCAACATGAGAAACCCTATTTCCTGTGTGGGGAGCAGCATCAAGCCCAGGAGCTACATAAACACCCTTCCAGGCCCTCAGAGACACTGAGCTCCCTGCTGGAGGCACAACTGCACACACGTGTCAGGACACACGTCCCCATGGCACCCTCCAGCCTGCTGTGGGCCCTGGTGGCCTTCACCTGCTCTGGTAGACCCAGGACCAGGCAGGGGTGGGGAGGATGGAAGGACAGCACCAGGCACAGGATGCTTGCATGTATGAGGAGGAAATGTGGACTGGAGAAAAGCAAGCATAGGATGATGTCTATGTGGTTTATCTCTAGGTACAAAATTAGTCTAATTAATATAATATTTTATTCACTAAAACAGTTCTATTTATGATTTTGCCCACAGGCTCCAGTGTGGCCCAGAAAGTTATTCAAGACGCGCCAGCGATAACCACAAGAGAGGGGTCAGCAATCCTCCTGAAGTGTCAGTATGAAACAAGCCAGAGTGGATACTACCTTTACTGGTACAAGCAGCTTCCTGATGGGAACATGACTTACATTATTGAACAGTATTCTAATTCTGACATTAATGCTGCACAGGGTCGCTATTCTATAAGCTTCCAGAAAGCAGACAAAACTATTTCCCTCAACATTGCGCCCTTACAACTGGATGATTCAGCAATGTACTTCTGTGCTCTCCAGGAACCCACTGTGTTTGAAGTGATGGTAAAAGCTGAACAAAAACCTTGAGAAGGGTGAGCTCGAGAAGGGTAAGACCTCTGCTCAGAAGCCAAGCTGAAATCACACCTGTACATCCCAGACAGACGATGGCAGAGACTGTGGTTGCTTCCTCTGTGGCCTAGATTATGTGCGGAATTCTGAGTAAAACCTCCTTCTATATTTCTTCTAGTATATTCTCATTCTTGACTTTTTCACTTAAGGTCAGCAATACAGAACACTTGTAAAGTTGCCTAATGTTGAAAAAACTTGCCCCATAATGATTTCAAAGTGGCAGCTGCATTTAAAGATGCTCATATCACAAGCTGGATCTAGTCTGGAATCATCATGAAAATAATTCTTAGCCCTTTCCTCATAGGCTTTAATACAATCAAAGATACAATCAAAAAGCAGAACCAGTATGAGTGATGTAGAATAAGAGATTTTAATTACAAGGTTTAGAACTCTTGCCACTGCTGAAACTGGTAGAGGAATCTGTGCAAAGCTCCTGTGTTTTCATTGGCTACACAACCTGAATTTGCTATAAGTCAGTTGGATTAAAATTTATAAGGAAACTTGGATGTGGAGAAAAACATGGACAAACTGACCTGTTTGTTCTCATACTAGATCCCATGAAGACAATTGGAATCCAGACAAACTACAACTGTCTACTCTCACCTCCTCATGGGCTTGGGCACCTTCAGGGAAAGTGTGTATCACTTGCATCCTGCTACATGCAGACCTGGCCCAAGACAGAGGCTGAGAGAGGAGACCTGGTGGGATTGCGGGGAGGCAGGCTATGAGTCAGCAATAACATGAGGGGCAGAGCAGGAGCAGCACGTGTGAGTTGCCACCATGCTTGGGTCCTGCACCAGCCTGCAGAAGACAAATCATGGCTGCTGTGTCACAGTTGCCCTCCATATCTTGCCCAGACATCTTTGTGACCAGCCCTAACCAATGTAATATAGGAAGCAAGTTCTGGGGAACACATTTTTAAAAAGTTGAGTTGAGACAAATGAATGCCACAATAGTGACCCCAAAACAAAATATCCCTCCCTACCAAAGAGCATCAAGTTCATTTATCCATCTTTGGACACAATTCTTTTTTTTTTTTTTTTATAGAGGCATGTTTTATTTATTTATTTGTTTATTTGTTTGTTTGTTTTGTTTATACATGCACTGGGCACAGTCAGAAGCGCGGGAGGGTGAGAGAATTCACCAGAGCCAGAGCGGGGAGCAGAGCAGGCAGAAGGACCGAGGTACACTGCTGAGGGGAGCAGCGGGCGGCAGGAGAGGTCTGCGCGCCATGTGGGACCCTCCTCCGGTGGCCGGGGAGCAGCCGGGGATCGAACCAGCGCCGCAGAGGCCGCGGGCAGCTTCGCAACCCAGCACTCAACCGCTGCGCCAACGGGGAGGCCCTGTTGGACACAATTCTTAATCCCCTCTTGATGAGCCACTCTCCATGGCTACTTTGTAGTTTAAGCACTCTGTTCACTTTATAATGAACCGATATGATTAACTTTAGTTAGCACCTCTTATGCTACTGCACATAAGCAAATGTGTAATGGGAGTAAAAATGGGTATTGTACATAATATACATGTACCAAAATGAAAAAGCATTTCAAACTATTCTCCAATAAATCATATGATTGTATTTGGTATATATAACTAGCTCTTCTGTTCCCCATTACATAGTCTCTTTTCCCATAGCCAGCACCTCCATTTTCTGCTCTACCTGACTTTTATTTAAAACAAGCTTCTTATTCAGGAGCAATGCTACATGAAATATCATAAAGTTAAGTACAGAATTTTACAAATTCACCTCTTGGAGAGGTTGTTCTGGCAGAAAGATTGCCGAAACAATGGGAAATCCATATTCAAAGTGTCTATTTATTGGGAGGGAGGTGGTGGGGGAATCTTTTAAATTTCCAGAGAAAATCAACACTTTGTTCTCTGGGAAACATAATCACGAATGATGCCTCATGAAAAATCACAAGTAACAGATGAAAACAATTTTAAATGGCGTATTTAAAAAAAACAAAGCTTTTAAGCTACCTCCTCATAAACAGGAAAGCATCATTTTAAATTCTTTGTTAAAGGTCACTAAGAATTTGGAGTGTCAATGCACAAACTATTAAGCTAAATTCAAATTTTGAACATATAAAAAGTTCATATAAATCTATAAGAAAAGGTAACAATGAATGTGGCAAAAAACTTGAAAAACCTTGTCAGAAGTATGATATCCCACAGCTTATAAACATGGGGGGAAGCATTTGATATTAGATGACAATCAACTGACCTCAGGACAACTGACTGGAACTCTCAGGGATGGCGACATTTCTGGTTTCAACTGGAACACACACATCCCTGCCCTCCGCGCCCCCCCCCCAAAAAAAAGCTCAACAAACTAGAAAAGAAAATGCCATATCTGGGTACAAATTGCCACAGAATCAATAGATGAGGAAATCATTCACCAATCATTAATTGTGTTGAATGTTTTAACCAGTCTCTTCACAATTTTGTGCTGGAACGAATAAGGAGCATGAGGAGGGAGATATTACTCCTGAAACACTACAAACATATTTTCCTATCAGAACTTTGCCCCATGCCTTCACCCTCTGCCTGTAATGTCATCCCCCCAAATGTCTGCACGGTGTACACCCCAACTTCCTTCTTGTCTATATTCAAATGTCACTACTTGGGGCAGTCTTGAGCTAACTCTGTCTTCCTGAGAACCAGGCTCCAGCACACTCCAAGCACCAGGAAGGAAAGCAGCTCTTTGCTGAAGTGTGCCCCCTGGTGTGTGAAATGTTTTGTGAGCCTGACACTGGCCTCCTGCTGCCTCCAGTGTTCCCTGGCTACACTGTGGCCAGGCCTGCCCCTATAGGAGCTGCTGTTGTTGCTGACTAGTTAGTGAGCTTACCATTGGAGATTTTTAATCTGGTTTTTAATTTTTTCCTTGCAGTTTTGAACGTGATTGACTTCAAAATGACAAATATAAGACATAGGTAGGTTTATGTTGAAGAGTAATGAAGTTATCCTGGGAAAAAATGACATTTGTTGTGTAAGGTGGGGGCTTTTCTGTGTTAAATATGATTGTCTACAGTTCTGTCTTTAGTGCATTATCAAAGCACCCTGAAAGGGAACAAGGGTCAATGATGGAGAAAAATAAACCATTGTAGGGGACACTGCTTAGTGTTCCCGATGTGTTATCCTAAGCCACCCATGTCCCTACATAGTATGCTTGTTGGGCCGATTTCCCCTGAATAGTAAGAAACATGACACACCTTGATACTTATGATCATATTAGAAATGAGGTCAATGTTGATGTTAGATTCCACTGCAGGTTCAGATTGTGGTTCCATCTCCCCCCTGCACTCCTCCCGATACACTACAGGCATCTGGCTGAGGCCCTAAACAGGGAAGTCACACGGCGTGGTTTGCGTGGCTATGTCTTATTTCATTTATTTCTGTCTGGATCTTGTAGATTGGTTCTGCCCCCCATTCCCATAGGAAGGCAGTCCCTCCCAAAATCCCAATAGCATTTCCAGTATAGGCAAAATGGTTGAAGCTGGTCATAAAGCACAAAATTCCAGTTTTAAGTCCTAGGATACAATGAACAGCACGGTGACTGGCTCTTGTTTTATAATTATATAAAATTATATATGTGAAAGAAATTTGCAATACGGTATATATATGTAAACACACACACGTGTGTGTGTGTGTGTGTGATTGCCGTGATTTTCTTAAGACTGAAGGATGCAGAGATAGTAAGAGAAAAGCTATTAACAAGAAAGTAGAGGGAGGGAGAATAGGAAACACCATAGCCTCACCAGAGCTTCTGTGGCCTCACGTGACATGTGAGGAAACCAAGGTGAGCCTGAAGGCTGTTGCCATACGATATCACAGTTACTATCACGGACCATCTTTACGGTTGTCGAACAAAACGTATTTTTGAAAGTCCGAAGGGCTGATCTTTAATCATCACTTCTGAAGCAGCTTCATTCATTATAAAAATTAAGCTTAGCCCTAAGACCCAGTAAGAGAGAAGAAAGACACATGGGTAGTTGCTGTGAATAGGAAAGTCTCCACTCAGACATTGTTTTTTGAATTTTCTAAAAAATGTCATTAGATTCCGTGTAGACAGAAATGGGTGCAAGGTAAATGAATGACCATTAATTAGATACAAGAAGGACAAATACATAATAAATTCTATTTTCCAAATGGCATCAATAATATTCCACTGATTCAATCCTCCAGCTCAAACCTGTAATACTAATTGCTTTTTCACATCCAGCCTCACTTAATTACCAGGCAGAGAAGTAGACAAAGTCAAAGTTTAGCGAAAGTCAGACTCTTTTTTCATCTGTGCATAACCAGGGGGGCAATGCAACACGAGAAACCCTATTTCCTGTGTGGGGAGCTGCATCACCCCCAGGAACTACATAAACGCCCTTCCAGGTTCTCAGAGACACTGAGCTCTTAGCTGGAGGCACAACTGCACACATGTGTCAGGGTACACATGCGCCATGGCGCCCTCCAGCCTTCTGTGGGCCCTGGTGGCCTTCACCTGCTCTGGTAGGCCCGGGGCCAGGCAGGGGTGGGTAAGATGGAAGGACAGCACTGGGCACAGGGTGCTTGGCATGGAGGAGGGGGGAGGAGGACTGGGGAAAAGCCAACATATGATAATTTCAATGTGGTTTATTTTTGTATCAGATTAGTCTAATTCTATAATATTTTATTCACTGCCTCAGCTCTGTTTTCTGATTTCCTTACAGGATTCAGTGTGGCCCAGAAAGTAACCCAAAACCAGTCAGCTATAACCACGCAAGAGGGGTCAACAGTCACACTTAACTGTCAGTATGAAACAAGTTGGACTGACTACTATCTTTATTGGTACAAGCAGCTTCCTGATGGAAAGATCAATTACCTTATTCATCAGGCTTCTTTTTCTCCCAATAATGCAGAAAAGGGTCGCTATTTTATAAACTTCTAGAAATCAAATACAGCCATCTCCCTCACCATTAATTCCT